GCCCTTATGGTCCCAGGTTCTCCGGCGATTTCCCTGGCCCTGGAGCTGGTATGATGTTCCCTGGGCGACCCCCTCAATTTCCACCTGGAGGGTTCGGGATGAATATGGGTCCAGGACGTGGACCGCCCTTTATGGGGGGAGGGATGGGTCCCAATGCTGCTAATCAGATGCGGGGTGGCAGGCCTGGCGGTGGTATGCTCCATCCGCCACTTCAGGCACCAATGTCACAAAACAGCATGAGATCGGTTAGAAGAGATCCGTCGAGACCAGACGATGACAGCAGGTACCAGCATGAAGGAGCTAAGGCGGGTTCTCATGAAGACCAATTTGGTGGTGGAGGCAACAGCTTCAGAAATGACGAGAGTGAAAGCGAGGATGAGGCGCCAAGGCGTTCGAGACATGGGGAGGCCAAGAAGAAGAGACGAGGCTCGGAAGAAGGTGGGGCCCAGGGCTCCGATCACTAGCAGAAGAAGCCGTTAATCGACCGGTCTTGCTGCTAGAACAAACTGATTTTCTTCTAAGACAACATTTGCTAGCTTTTGCAACCCCATTCTGCGTTTGTTTTGATTAGGTGTTATCTTTTCGAATTGCCTGGTCGGCTGACAGAAAGAAGAATGCATTCAGAATACAGATGCCTGTAACACGGTGCCTTGATTTTGCCGGAAATTTATGCTTGTCTTGTGTACGTTTTGTAGAAGTAAAATGAATCCGGAAAGCAGATTACATTCCATCTGTTGATGTTTGCCAGGACTTCTGCAGGGGTTATGATTCAGACATGAGAGAGTGGCTGGAATGCATCTGTTCATAAATAAAAACTAATATGACTTGAATTTGAATTTGTCCCCATTTTCAATTCGTAGACTCATACTGATAATTGTGGATAATATCTAGGGATGGTATTCGGTCGGTAACCGGTTTTATCTAAAGGATGGTACTACTGGTTTTCGGTATGCCGAGTGTGGGTAAGGGGAATTGATTACCGATACCGGTTTGTAACCGGTTTACCGGTTACTGAATTACCGGTAAACTGCTACAAACTGGTTTTACCGACTTACCGTAAGGAGTAGTTGCGGACGGTTTTTCGGTTCGATTTACCTGAAAATTACCGAACCGAATTTCTGGGAAGTGGAGTGATGTAATATTTTGATTTTTATGAGTTTTTTTCTTCATTTTTGTAATTAATAATTTATTATTAACTCTTATTTATAATATTTTTGAGCCCTATAGTTACTTACTTCCATTCATGTACGTAATATTTGTGAATAATGAAGTATATGTTATATGTTAATGCCTTAATATTTGGCAAACTCAAAGTTGCGCACTTGTCGGTATCGGTATTACCGATTTACCGTTAGTATTTACCGATACTGGGGCCGGTAAACCGAGCTTCACCATTTGATACTCGGCTGCCGATACCGCCGGTAAACGGTTCGGTAAAACGTAACCGTTTACCGGCTTACCGTTTGTCACCCCTAATAGTACCTGCCTTGGAAATCCAAATCAAACTTAACTTAAAGCTAATATAATTAAGTAAAAGACAAGTGAGATTTTAGAACTAGAATGTTGAAACATAAATTTAAAATCTTAGGGGAAATTAGAGATAAAAGGTTACATATATGTTTTGGTGGTACTAGAAAAGTGAATGAAGGTTTTTAATGTCATATCATTTTCAAATTTTCGTGGAAGATGGAGGAGGGAGAGATCAAATTAATGGAACTTGGTGTGGATAGTATATATGAATTAGATGTCGGGCGATAATGGGCATGAGGATGGGGCGGAGACTCCTGCCTCATCCTCGACATAACAAAAGGCCCTTGAACAGTGAGCAAGAAGACAAAGTTAAATGGATGTCGGATCACTCAGTTTTTCCTAAAAGTGCCTGAAACGGTGCGAAGAAGGTTTTCTATGAGATGAGAAATGAAAACTATTTCCTCCACATGAGGTTTATGAATAAGTGATTATCTGTTGTTGAGTTAGGAATATCCATTCATTCTCCTTTGTTTTGTGTGTATTACCCATACCGGTCCTGTAGTGACTCTCCACAATGACTGTAACTGGAGCAACTAGGGCAATGATTCAGGTCATTTTGCTCCTGCGTTGGTTGTAGTTTTCTCTTTTCTGTTGTCTCTTAAATATTTAAGTTACCAATGCGGCAATGTGAGCATTGTTTGGGTGTTATTCCATACTCATTAATCTTTCTTTATTATCGAGCAACAATTCATTGCTCTGTAAAGAGATGGCATTAGAGTGTCATAGGAGACCACAGACTACCATGGACTACCAATAACTCCTCCTTGTTGTCAATTCTTTTTGGCTGTTAGGATACTAGAGAGTGTGGCTAAAGGCTTCATGATCTATTAGATGAGATGCAGTGATAGCCTAGATGGAAATGGGAAGAGTTGAGTAGCAAGGTAATTGGTTGTGCTTATGTGCTGAAATGGTATATTAGTGCTGACGAAGTCGAACAACAACGATAGAGCTCTTTGCATTACTAATAATCCGTAGTTTGGACTTTATACTGGATGATTGGCACGCTTTCCCTCGTTACAGACTAGTGGTGGTCTGAAACTATCTCTTGTGAATGTTAAATGATATCTGACGCTATTCTCAGATTTGTAGCATGTTACATGGCGTGGTTAGTTTGTACTTGTGTGTTCTTTTCAGTGAAATTACAGCTTTGGTTTAACGGAAAATGATTATGGGAAGTTAGTTTTGGAAGGGAACTCTTGAACTGCGTTTGCTGATATTCTCATAAGTCAAATGCCATATAGGCATAAACTTTTCTGCTTGCTTGTTGAAATTTGGCAGCCAAATTGAAGCAACAATCATATCATCCAGGTTCTACATGTTGATGTGGCAAGTGGGGGAAGGAGAAAGAGAATGATGATAGTGATACCAAATTAGAGGATCACAGTCGCAATAGCAGCAACCTTCAAGCTTCCCATTCTGCAGAGGGTGTACCTGTCCCTTTGCTGCAAACCCATAGAACTGAATTAGCGTAACAATGAATTCATTTTCATGAAATATGTATATTGCTCTTGTATAATGTATAGTTTGGCTCGAGAAGGCTTTAAGAACCATAAGGAAGCATGAAAGCTCACTATGGACATACCTGAGATTGTGAGCAATTGTTTTAGCTTTGATAAACATAGACCATATTCGCAAACAAAACAAGCCCAAAAGCCACCATTTCTACCGGGTACAAAAAGTATTCTAAAACAAAAAGGAACACGACATAATAGGTAGAACTTAATAATCAAGTCATATACAACAACATTGTGGCTGGTCTGGGGTTGACTAGACGGAAAGGTTCATCTATGATCACCAAGGTTGTCAACCCGCGGGTTGACCCGGACCCGGTCGAGCTAGTGCGTCAAGGGTTAATGGGTCAACCGTTTTAGCCCGATTTGGCCCGGGAATAAGGAAAAAGTTATTATATTGTACTTATCCTCATAAATTATATCAAATCTTATCTAACATATGTGTTATAACATATAATATTACACCAAAATAACATATCATATATAGATCCAACATATAGTGAAAATTCACACACACTTGTATAACATAAATATTCAAATGTTCAACTTAGCATTCTAAAAATTGAGCTAGGCGAAAAGAAAAATCGGAAAATAGGCGCATTTCGCAAACCAAAGAAAAAAATGACACAATTTGACCTCCAACCCGGTACCTTGTAGCGGTCGGCCCGGCGGGTGCGTGCGGCCCGTTTTTCTCACCGGGTCAGGGTCAAAGTGGGTCGACCCGCGGGTTGACAACCTTGATGATCACGCTTTGTAACTCATCACCACTAATATCAAAGTCTCTTTCAAATGTGGTGATCTCACGTGAAGACGATGATCCATCGACCTTTGGTGAGATATCATACTCGGACAATGTTGAATCGGTACAAAATCGCATGCATTATAGTAAACACTATACCTCCGACTGAACATCTCGCTAGTGACTACATAATCTGAAAAATAGGAAAGGAAACATTGTGCAAAATGTATATTAAGAGTATAAATACAATAACCATAGTTTTCTGGTAAGCACACAAAACAATTATTGAGTATTCATTCAAATATTTCTCTCATATGCTCTCTTGTAATGGAAATCAGAGGGGGACTTCCACACCAGTCAGTGTTGTCAAAATCGGACCGGTCAGCGATCCGGATAAGTGAGAAGTGTAAGGTTTATCGGATAACCGATGATTAACCGGTATAGAAACGACCATAAAATCGTTAACGTACAAATCTTTCAAATAAATAATCATACCTTAGTGGTACATTTTAAAAGTAAGTAAAAGTAGTCAATTCTTGATGGAGTTGACTGGGGTTATTCTTTATTTAGGAGTAGATGTATCGTTGTTGGAAAAGAAGGTGATCCGCGAAAGGGAAAAGAACAAAAGAAAGAAGGGAGCAGACAAATTCATAAGGGAAAATTGGGTTGCTAAGTTAGGATTTAGAAATAGGCGTAGATGTAGGGCTGTCAACCGGTCGGTTTCGGTTTAATCGAAAACCGAAAATCCGGTTTTCGGTTAAACCGAACAACCCCCTAGAGCTGCCGACCACCGACCGTGAGAGTATCACGGTTAGCCGGCCAACCGACCAATCGGTTTCGGTTTAATGCTCGGTTAGCCGACCAACCGGAAATACCTTTCCTAAAAAAAAAAAAATTTAAAGAAACAAAAAATCTGGACCACTTACTCACTTCTCGATTCTTCTTCTTCCTTTCTTCTCCTTTCTTCTTCCTTTCAAGAGAGAAACCCTTGCTCTCCCAACTCTCTCTCGATTATCTTCTTCCTTTCCAGGGAAAGGAAAATCGCCTCCCTCCCTCACATCTGTGGAAAATCGCCTCCCTCCCTCGATTATCTCCTAACCCCTCTCTCTCTCTCTTTGCTCTTTCTCACTCTCCCTCGTCTTACCCAGAAACAGATCTCATAATCGTCGCCCGGGTCTCCCTCAAGCTCTCCCGCCCCTTCTTCTTCATCGCCGGCGCCGATGTCGCCGTCATCCACGCCGTCGTCTCCTACATCTTCATCCGCCGCCGCTACAACAACCGGAGCAAAATCCTCAGGACCCAGATGGTCTCCGAGAGCCGGGAGCTCCGCATCGAGTACAGCTTCCTCCGGAAAGTCGCCTGCGTCCCGACCAAGTTTCGGTACCAGGAGATCAAGGACGCCACCGCCAATTTCCAGTCCTTCCTCGGCAGGGGAGCTTCCGCTTCGGTCTTCAAGGGCGTCCTCAGCGACGGGACCGCCGTGGCGGTGAAACGAATCGGGCCGTAAGCCCGAGGCGAGAAGGAGTTCAGATCTGAGGTCGCCGCCATCGCCAGCGTCCAGCATCTCAACCTCGCGAGGCTGATCGGCTACTGCATCGTCCCCAATCAGTCTCGCTACCTCGTCTACGACTTCGTCCCCAACGGATCCCTCGATTGGTGGATTTCTCCCCCTCTCTGCTTCTTCTTCTTCCTGTATTTGGGATTTTTTTTACTTAAGATTTGGGAATGGGGATGAATCTGGACATATTTTGGGGAAGGTGAAGGTGGGTCTCGGTTGGCCCGGTTAGTCGGATAACCGCGGTTAATTACCGTCAGTTACTCGGTCAACCGACCCCTTCCTTTTCCCATCCGACCACCGACCGTCAAAGTAACCGGTCGGTTTTCGGTTAGGTGGTAACCGGCGGTTTTCGGTTAAAACCGGCGGTTACCCGCTAACCGCAAACCGAAATGCCAGCCCTACGTAGATGTTCCATTTTCCTTTTTTTTTCTTTTTATCCTCCTTAGTTTCATACAAGGTTGTCAACCCGCGGGTCAACCCAGTTTAACCCGGACCCGCCCACAAAAACGGGTTACAACAACCCATTGGAGCTTCCGCCCAGATTTGGTCAAACCCGGTGAAAACCGGCAAACCCGCCGGTTGGCCCGACGGAGCGGGTCTATGGGCTTGCTCCTTGTGCGACACCGATACCAACAAGATGATCTTCCCACCTATCCTACTTCCCACCAACCGGAGGTCCAGTTCGCCGGCAAACCTCATGCGTCCATGTCTGCTTCACTAGGCTGCGACCCCTAAGAAATCGAAGGTTAGAGAGAAAGAAAGAGATCTTGAAATCCTAATGGTGAATGAAGAGATTCGGATGGCGGCATAAGTGATCGGCGGTGAAAGAGATTGATTGGTAGGTTGAAGAATAAATGGAATTCGGATTGAATAAGAGAGTCTTTTTCAGTAGAAGATTGAATAAGAGAGGTGAGTTGTTGTAGGGATGGCGGGGAATTTTTTGTTGTTGTTCTAATCTCCATTTTGGTTCCAGAAAATGAAAAGAGAGAATAGAAGAAGAAGCTGGCGGCAGGGGCGCAGGGCAGAGAGAGTTGGGGGTAGGTAGGGTTTGTCATTTGTGTTAGATTGGGTGGAATTTTACAAAATGCTCCATTAAATTAAAATTTATTTGTACTTCCTCAAGTTTCAAAACACTATATTATAATCCTATACCTTAAATTAAACTATATTTCCCCTCACCTTTTGTTGTTTAATTAATAAATCATTTTATTTTGCTGGTATATATAAGTCAATTAATTATTCACAATTCTACATTAGAATACTATTATTTTGGAGTAATGTTATATGTTATTATTCATCTCAAATTGGTTATATAATAAATTTATGTATGAAAAATAATAACTTTTCTCATATATCCGGGTTAATCCGGGCTAAACCGTGCTAAAACGGGTGACCCATTAACCCTTGACCCACTAGCTCATCTGGGTCCGGGTCGACCCACGGGTTGACAACCTTGGTTTCATACGTTACTTAGGTAACTATAGATTTTATTGGTTTTAATAATTAAAAGCCGCCAAAAAATGTTGGCCGAGAATACGAAATAGACTTAGATCTTCCCATTTTCTTTTTATTCTATTTCCCTTTTTTAGTTTCATACATTAGGTAACTTAAATTTCATGAATTCAAAGCACCAGATCGTCGGTTCGGGTTGATTGGTTCTTTCGGTTAACCGGAAAACCCGATTAACACCCGGCCGACCAGATTTAGCATCAGATTTATACTGCCGGGACCGACATCGTGGACGAGTCCGATTTTTTCTGGTAAGACCGACCGATCCGGGCCGGTTTTGACAACAGTGACACTAGGGCATGCTTGGGCAACAATTTCATTATTATTATTAGGAAATCAGAAGCCTAAGCATATCACTGAATTCGCTTACGCATGATGAAACAGAGTTAACAAACTCACAGGAAACAGGGTATAAAAAACACAGTTGGTGGTCAATAAGGTGAACCAAGGTATTGGTGATGTTGATTTCGAAGATGTAGAACGCAGTAATGCCTACAGCTATCCCATTTGCATTTGTTTAGTAATGGGGTAAGCATGATTGACAAATTCCCTTTTAATTGAGGTGCTGATATGAAAATCTTTGGCAATACATTCCGCTCCTCACAACAACAAGTATGCAAGCCAGGAAAACACCAGTCCTTACATGCACTTTTAGCAATGAAGTTAAGTATTCAGAGACACCATATCGACTTCGAACTGAGAAAACAAGCAAATGGAACTCCAGATGAGCGAGAAAACCTTAAGGGTGCGTTTGGATACAATGATTTGGATTTGGTATTTGTGATTTGGATTTCCAAATACCAAATCATGTGTTTGGATATTAATTACATTTGGTATTTGGATTTGTGTCAAATTCATGGGGTGATTTCCAAATACATGTCTAGTGTATTTTTTGTCAACTTCAAATACATTTCAACAACTAGTGATTTGAAATACCTCCTAACAAAAGAATGGACATATTTGTAAAATATGAAAAGTTTAGGTACTATAGTGTGAGGCAAAACATATAAAGGTACCAAAATGTAATTTTACCATCAAAATTTCAGGACCTTTTGTAAAATTTTAAAAGTTTAGGTACTAAATTGTAAGAAAAAATAATTTTGGGTACCAAACTGTAATTTAACAAAATTTGTAGTAAGTGACCAGAAAATTAAAAATTGAAATTGAAAATCATAAAATGCAAAATACAAACAAATTACAAATGAGTATCCAAACAATGAATTTGAATTACATGTATTTCAAATGCTAATATTTCGAATACATCCATTTCAAATGCTAATATTTCTAATACCTTACATTTAAAATCCACTTATCCAAACACACCCTAAATCAAATCTCCACACTATGTAACCCAGCCTCTTTCCCACCAGTTAATGTCTCTACTCGCTCCAACCGCAAAACAACACTATAGAAGCTAAAGCCAAATGACGAGATCCACAATACTAGAGTCTTGTCATAGATCTTATACAAGCTACATTCTTTTTCAAGTACCTTGATTTTAAAGACCTCAACCACCCCAGTTTGCTCGAGGGAAAACATAGTGATATAGCGAAAAAGATCACATGCAGGGCTAATTTCATGAACATGCGGGTTTTCTTTCAAAACCACACTTGTCCAATGATTTGAGAACTAATGTTAGGAACATAATCGAGTTTCGGAATGCTTCTTGATGGAAGCAAAACCAACAAGTCTATAAACAGCACCATGGGAAGCAGGTCTCCAATTTATAGGCAAAATCAGAACCTGCTACTGTGACCATAATGGATCAAACCATACCAACAGATATCTCTTGCGTTCATAATACCATGAAATATTCAAAAACCAATCTCCAACTCCCTTCACATCTAGCAACCCAAAATGGTTGCTCCTGTTGTTATCAAGATCAATGTAGATAACTCAAATCAAGATCAGACAGGGAAAGCATCAATCCTATATTAGAACCATGCCAAGAGTGTGTCAGCAGCGCTATGACACCGACATAATTTCGAACGAGCATTTGTGTTCAGAACTTGCAGGAGGATAAAAACATCTGGAATCAAACTCAAATTAAAAATAGGTGGATGTTAAGACTAATGATTTCCTGCTAGCAGTCCATTTAATTGTTGATTGGTAACATAGTACATCTGCGCTTGGAACTTAATCGAAAAGGAGAGATCAATCCAAAACTATACCTAACTGGCAAGTGGAGAACAACCCCTTAACTCTTTCAGAGAACCATCACATTCGCTGCACAGACTGGAGAAGAGCTGTCATATGTGCCAAGAAAGATCCAATTCCAATTCTAGGACACGTTGGAACATATCCAAGGCAAGCTAACTAATGAGACAGAAGATAAGTAAAGCTGCCTTTTAGATAAAACTGTATACAGAGAATTGGCAACACAGACAGTCGGTTGGGGCCAGGAGAGTGAAATCTGGTATAGTGCAAGACCTGATGGACACCGGCCATGCATACTACCCTTCCAACTGCTGTCACCTATAGGTTGCAGAGGGATATTGCATCATAAGACAATAACCAGTGATGTATAAGGTAGAGCCCAACTTCCAAAGAGGGATAAGCTTTAAACACAACCATCCTGCAGAGTAGTAGCTTGGGGAAAATCCTAACACATGAATAATCTAATTCCTTAGGGAGCAGAGATAGTTCACAGCTTTTAGAATTTCAGTACATCATAAACGAACAGAAGAATTGACTGGCAACCGTATGAGAAGAAAACAACACCTCCCTTCCAGAACTTTTAACGTAGACTAGTCTCAAAGGCAATAAAAATATGACTTGTTCGAAAGGCAAACCTTGTAGAATGACAGAACCAAAACCCATGTTAGATGGAATCCACCCAAGAAGGAGACCTTTCAGCCAACACGACTTCTCAGCAGATCAACAAAAGATCCTCTCGGGAAACAGAATTCAGGAGCTTTCAAGCTCAAGATTAACAATGTCAGGCGTGCATAGAAGGCCAAGAACTCCATCTTGCCGATTCAAGTAAAAAATACCCTTGCCAATCACAGTTTCCAGAGTATATACACTGCCAACAAACACATCAAGAATCTACAGAAGAACCAAGTGTAAAAACTCCCCTTCGGTGCTATGGTAGATGGGAGAAAAGAGCAAGTTACAAATTGTACGCAAGGCAGAAGGGTGACATGTAGTGTCACCCACAATAGTGTAGAGAAACAATTCATGACACCATGAAGTGGCAACCACAATAGATGTAAACCCAACCACCCTCTTTTCCATGCCCATGTAGCTCAAGGTCACAGATACATTCACACTCCTATTTTGTCAGTCAAATAGGATTTGCAGCGCAATTAGGTTCCATACTTGTCATAAAGAACAGTAAGGGGATACAAATCCCATCTAGTTCTTCTCCGGGTCAACATGTCATAAGAGTTCCTCCCAAGGAACATAAATCCAATATGGCAAGAGTTTTGGACCACTAACTTCACCATCCACAGCATTCCTGCAGCAGAATTTCCACAACCTCGAGCTACTAACTTGATCCTTACTTTTCTTGGTAGTGAAGCAGGAACCGTTCTTCATAGTGACGTCATAGATAGGAACGTTCTCCTTCCAAGGTCTAGATCACATCAACAACCATAGTAAGATTTTGGCACCACACTAAGACATGCATTTGCATTCCATCAACCTCGGAATCCCTAAGATGCTTTAGACATGATGACTTTTTATCTGAATAGTTTCTTGAAGTGCTTTTACCTCTCACATTAAAAACCACTACAAAGTTAAGAGGTGACCAGCTAATGACATACTTCTCTTGTTTCTTAAGTAATTGCAACAAACCAACAGATCCTTGGAAAGGGTAACCAATGGAAGCGAATAAATGAATATTGAGGTATGATCAAAACATACTACTATACAACCAAACCCTATTGCTTCCACCAATTCCATTTTTACGAGACTCAATTTTGCAACTTCCCCTGCATATGATTACAGTGAGCATAGCACCACATGACGGGATTTTTTCAATAATAGCACCTTTAAAAAAAATTACAAAACTAGCACCCAACCTAAAATATTTACAAAAATAGCACCTTTTAAATCAAACCGCACCACCAAGGTGCGTTTTATAATTAAATCGCACCAGGACGGTGCATTTTATAATTAAATCGCACCAGGACGGTGCGTTTTAATTATAAACCGCACCTTAGGGGTGAGGTCCAATCCACGTCAGCAAACGAACCGCATCATCCGAGTGCGGTTTGTGTTTTTTGGGCAGCGGGCTTGGAGACCATTGGACGAAGGCGCGATCAGACCGCGGACCGCACGCCAGCTCAGCGATCCGCGCCATGGATCGGAGACCGCAGCTGCAAGGTGCGGTCAGCGCCTCGGGAATCACGGACCGCATCGTAAGGGAGCGGTTTCCGCGAGGGGAAAATTACCAGACCTCCCCTGAAGGGTGCGGTCTGAAAAGTATAAATACCCCCCTTCCCCTCTCATTTCTTCACACCACAACCTATTCTTCCTTCTCTCTCTAGAATTATGTCTCTTAACCCTCCCCTCCCAAAATCCTAGGAAATAGTGGTCTGTTGGTTGCGGCTAAGTCCGATCTGCCATCAGAAAACATTTCTTTGGTTTTTTCCTCAAAACCCGCCGAGCCGAGCCGAATCTCTGTCTGAATTTCCTGAAAAAATGAGCGAGTTGTGGCAAGGAGAGGGAGTTTATGTTGATGAATTTCTAGCGATACGTACTCATTATTCTGGTTTAATTTTTGTTGTTGTTATAAGCTTTTTAATTAATCTATGTACTAACTTCGTTGTTATTTTCTCGTAGGTTGGGGACGACGTGGATATCTACAACCAACGGTATTATCTCGAGCAAGGACAGTTGGATCCAACCGACTTGTACGACCAACCCAACCATCGGTCAAGGGATGTTTGGAACGATCACCCGGTACATACAATTCTTCATCATTTGTCTTTCTTTTATTTTGCTAATGTATTTAGTGGAATATAAAATAAATTTATGCTGAATTTTTAATCGTGTTGGTTGTTTTCAATAATTTAATCGAATACATAGCGCCACTTACTTCGACCCTTTATAAAGAGATGCACATATAAGGAAATGGGGTTTTAAGCGATTATCATATCCTCCCATTCCCTGGGAAAATCAGGTATTAAGATATCCTCGGATCCCCCCTTTTTCTGTCAAAAAGAATGCGTTTCTAAGAAGATGTATACATCTTCTAAGAGTCTAACGAGTGTTGCTCTGTATTCGATTAAATTATTTAAAACAACCAATACGATTAAATTATTTACCAAACAACCAATACGATTTATTTTTATGTTTACAAAATGAATTTTATTAATTTCAAATATTTGAATATGTATGTTTCTCTTTAAATTATTATTCATTTACAATGTTATTTATGTTAATTAATTCAGTATGTTTGTTTTACTATAATATGCATGTATCTCTTTAAATTATTATTCATTTAGAATGTTATTATGTTAATTAATTTAGGATGTTTGTTTTATGATAATATGTATGTATCTCTTTAAATTAATATTGATTTAGAATGTTATTATGTTAATTATATGAAATGTATTTTTATGATAATAAAATTCTGCTCGAAGTTAAATAATTTAATTTAATTAATTTAGTTATGAGAAAAAACCCTTACTAATATATAATAATTAACGTGTAAATTTTTGCTAGGAGGCGCAAACAATACTCCGTTACAGGGGTACGACCAATGTGTTCCCATTCCACCCAGCTATCTTGCCCTTTCTCAAAAGGGCACGGTTGGACCCGATTAGGCATTTTGACGGCATCAAAGTCGATCGCCAACTCATTACCGCATTAGCTGAGAGATGGAGAAAGGAGACCCATTGTTTCAAATTTAGAGAAGGAGAGGCCACCATCATGCTAAAGGATGTCGCCATCCTAACCCATCTGCCCATCGACGGCAAACCGGTGTGCGCGAGTGATCATCCCCCCGACGATCGTGACGGTATGCCCGGTTGGATTAATTTCATCCACAGTGTTTTGGGGGGTGAAAGTACCAGTCAAGGGGAGCGTTGATGCGACCGATCGCTTGCCACCAATGAGGAAACACCAAGTCTCAATTACTTGGTTGACGATGTATTTTAGAGACCATTACGAGAGTCATCCCCTGACCGAGGAAAGTCCGGAGGATGAGAAGGAAAGATATGCTCGTGTCTATCTCATAGGCATGATCGGAGGAGTGTTCTTCTCCAAAAAATCAAGCAATCTCCTTAGCTGTGGATGGCTTAGGATCATCCTCGGTAGTTGGGAGGAGATGGGGGAGTTTAGCTTGGCATCCACTTGCCTAGCTAATATCTACCACAATTTGTGCAATGCGTCTCTAAAATCTGTGAGGTAGGTCGGCGGCGCAATGTTCATCGTCTAATTTTGGGCTTGGGAGCATATGCCATGGATTGCACCGGTCCAACGTCCCGACAGGGATTGGCCAATCGATCATCCCCTAAGAGGTGAAGCTTATTGTACAAGGTAAACTTCTCATACCCCATCATGTTTTTCATAACACATTTTCCCTTGTGTTTTAGCTTATTGTAGTTTCATTATTGTCTTATTAATAAGGTGGCTCGGACACACAACATGCGACAACCTTGCCCAACACAAGTTGGTCGAGTATCGGAGGAGGTTTGAGCGACTTTGGGAAGGAGAGGTAACTTCTATACTTCGATCCATTTATATCTTTTTTTTCATGGAGTACATGTATTTTTCCAATTCTGATAAACTTAAGTTACTCATTTCTTTCTTGTAGATCGTCTTCGATCCATACCCGGAGAACATCGTTCATTGGCATCTCTAGCAATTCCTCGGTCATATCGGGCAATGGTGCACGAGGGTCCCTCTAATTTGTTTTGGGATCGTGGAGTGGCACTTGCCGGATCGATGCCTCCGTCAATTTGGTCGGGAGCAGTGCATTCCGTTAGAGGTCCCCGATAGTCAAAGGGCCTTTCACCACCGAGATGGTTGGCAAGGTACTCGCGATTGGCCCACGAAGTTGGCGAAATTCATCACGATGTGGGAGAACCGACAATGGAAGGATACTGTCACTCCAACTCGAGTGGGTCGAATGGGGTATCATGACCCATACTTGGATCGATATCGGCAAACATCGGTTCGGTACATGACTCCGGAGGGTGCGTCCGATGGTACATTGGTAAGTATATTCCGTCTAAACAATTAAATTTATTACTTGGTTCCTAAATTTTTTTCTAACTTTTTTTTTTGTGATTTAGGCTGATGGGATCGAGCGGATCAAAGATATGACCGCCGGGAGAGTTGAAATGGGCAATGAAGATGTGAGCTTCATCAGGAGGATGGCAAATAGTCTGCTTGGCTGTATCAGAGCTCAGGGTCGGGATCATCGTAGATATCCGCCCATGCCCGCACCCCCGCCACCTCCGGTACAAGTTGATGTCCCCGATCCCCCACTACCATACGAGAGAAAGAAGAGCAAGAGGGTTCGGGAAAGGCCCAACGTGCCCGACGTAACGCCATATCAAGCATGGAAAGTGCCGCCCCCATTAGTTGTGACACATGGTGTCGGCCCGAGTTCCTCCCAAGCTCCCCGCCCGAGTTCCGCCCAAGGTGCCGGCCCGAGTTCCTCCCAAGCTCCCCGCCCGAGTTCCTCCCAAGATCCCTGCCCGAGTTCATCCCAAGAGCACCGCCCCTCCTACCACAACGATTCCCACCCAAGCTCATACTACGATCCCCACTCGACCTACCATCAATCCCCTCCGAGCTACCATCAATCCCCATATGATCCCAACCCGACCTCATACAACGATCCCTGCCAACCATCATACGATTCCCGCCCGGTCTACCCCCATCTCCCCGTCAACCATACTACGATTCCCACCGGGTCTACCCCCCATCTACCCGCCAACCATACTACGACTCTCACCCGGTCTACCCCCAAGACCCCCTACATCATCGGGTACTTGGCATGATGGTTCCTCCACGACGGCGCCCCACGAATTCAACCCATGGACTCGCCCTCATCAACTGTGGCCTCCTACTCCTCACCGTATGAGCGCGGATGTCCCCGCTACACTACCTCGGCCCCGGAAGCGCCGCCTCCCACGGATCCCCACCGACACAACACCGACGAGCGCCACACTACCTTGGCCATTCGAAACTTGCCACCTCAACCACCTATTGTTACTCCCGTCGGTCGTCGTACAAGGAGCAAGAAAACCGTCAGTTCCGGTGAAGCTCGTGGACTTCCTTGAGATGTATTTTGAGCTGAATTTTAACTATATGTACTTGGAACTATTCCTCTTATCTTAGTTTCTAGGCAGACTTACTTGTGTTTTAAGTCAGTTTCTTGGCCTGCAAGTTAACTTGTTTTGCACGAATTCTTAAAAAGGCTTTCTTTTCATTGTAAAATAGAAGACTTTGATTAATCGAAAAACAAACATAACAAGTACCGACAAATGATAATCGCAAATTATGTCGCATTAGCGCTTCCGTGTAACCATTCCACCGTAAGCCAAGCGTGAACTTTTGGAATGTCATCTGCAAAAAAAACGTAGTTCAGTTAATATCATAAAAATCATAAATAACAATAAAAAGTAATACAAAATAAACTTACGAGTTAACGTTAATCGCAAAAACACTAAAGAAATATAGAGCTACAACAGAAAATTGAAAAGGGAGAAGGAGAGGTGTGAAGAGAAGAGGTTTTCCGGGCAGTCTTTTATAGGCAAAATCACTGATGAAAACCGCACCTTTTTCGTCTGCCATGCAGCCCCACGTCTGTTATTATGCATGGCTATATGTCTTGTGTCGGAAAATAATTGACACACAAACCGCACTGGGGGGTGCGGTTTGTGTGGCAAAACCGCACCTTGGGGATGCGGTTTTGCTAGGTCAGGCCAAAACCGCACCTCGGCCATGTGGTTTCTGTAGGTCAGACGTGAAACCGCATGGACAAGATGCGGTTTTGGCCCAGGATAATAACCCGCACCTTAGATGTGCTGTTTATATATAAAATGAACCTTGGAGGTGCGGTCCATAAAAAAGGGTGCTATTTTTGTAAATTTTTTTAAAACGTGTTATTTCTGGAAAAAATCCCCCACATGACACCAGTATCAAAATCTCTATCCATCAAGCAAGTGACATCATACGGTCTAGAATCTAGTCACTATCATAATCAATAATATATTGCATGTTATAAAAAAGGAAACTCCGCTGAAAGATTATCATTTGAATGATAGGAATCAATAGTGAAAGACTCAAGGTTGGTGAAGAGAAAAGGGCCAACTACTGAAGAACACAGTAAAAGAGTATTCGCTTCGAGAACCAAATATTTATTTTAGGCAGAATGACAACTGTGTCTAAGCATAATTCACTTCTAGGCACTTAATTTCACTTCGAGAGTAGCCACAACCAATCTATACTCAAGGCAAGAAGAGACATCCATAACTAAGAATAACTACCTTCTAAGACCTTAATAGACGGAATTCTCATAGTAGGGATTCATATATATGCAAGTGCTATGATGCATTACAATTCTCGACAGCTATATTATCATCATTATTATTATTAGTTTTAGTTATTGTTTAGGAATCGTCTTAATTATTAAAGTATTTAAGGTAGTTACTTTAGGATTAAGTTACCGAGTCCTTGTAGGATTCGTCAGAGATTAGGTTTTCCGGTTCTACTATAAATATGTGCTTGGTTTCTACGTTTTAATCATCAGTCAAAGAAGAATAAATCAGTATTTCGGTTTATTTTAGTTTTAGTTCGTACGATTACGCGATGGACGAACCAATCGTCCATCAATTGGTATCAGAGCCTGGTTCGACGGAACTGAGCTCTACGCAGCTCCCAAGGCAGACATCGCCGACGTTCAACCACCAACGTCGGGAAGAGGTCCCGCGAGCCACCACTGCCGCCATCACAAACCGCCGTGAGAAGGTGGATACGCAGCCACCCTACGTCGAGGCCACGAGCACCATCGGCAACGATGACGAAACCCTAACCATTAGGGATGGGGTTCTAACGAGGGACGGACCGCCAATCGAGGCCTCGTCGATGAAGGAGATAACCGTAGCTCTATCTTCATCACCCGCATCGACGAGAAGCTAACCGTAGCTCTCTCATCATGGACCGCATTCATAGTAGGGGAGTTGAGGCACCAGATGGAGAGATTCAAGGATGTGTTGCGCCAGGAGCTCAAGGAGTTTGCGAGGAGCGAAGGATGGGGAAAGTTCGTCGTCGATGGTGCCGATCGAGAGAAGACTTGGGGAGGAGATCATCGCCAACCGCAGCCACCGAGCTAACTGTAGCTCGTAGGCGATCATCGTTCGCACCACCACCAATCACCATTGCAAACTCGACTGCCGTAGCCGAAGCGTTCACGATCTCCGCCGCAACAACAATCATGCCCACCACTGAAGTCAAGGAGCTTACCGAAGCTTCCTTTTCATCATCCACAGCATCGTCTATCGTCACCGTCATCCACCGCGCCGACGTTGACTCCACCAAGTTGGAGCCTCCAACCGTCGACGAGAAGGAGTTACCCGCAGAGCCTTCGCCACCAATTGCTGCCAACGAGGAGCACACCATCGCTCCATCATCATCATCAGCTGTGGACGACGCCGACCTAACCGTAGCTCCGTCTTCGCCATGCCCAGTATCATCATGTGAAGAGCCTCCCAACCCCGTCGCCGCCACGACGTTCACCGCGGTTCAAGGGCAACCATTAAGTGGCAATTGGAAGTTTGCCAAAGGACAAGGAGATGGAGTACGTGGGACCATAGAAGTAACCATATTGCATGGGGAGCATGGAAGGGTCGGTTTAGAAGAGGAGTGTCCTAGCTTCTCGTCGGCGATTGATGGAGTTGATTTTGTGGGAGTAAGCCATCCACTCGCTCTCCAGATGAGGACCGCGTATGTAGGGGATGTCGACGTTGGAATTGTTCGAGTGCCCGGGCATAATTGGAAGTTCCGTAAACGAGGGCGGCATCAATGAACAGCCGTTATCGTCAACAACTTTTTCATAGATTCGGGTTAAGACGACGCTTGAACTTCGGGGACGAAGTTCTTCGAAGGGGGGAGGATTGATGCATTACAATTCTCGGCAGCTATATTATCATCATTATTATTAGTTTTAGCTATTGTTTAGGAATCGTCTTAATTATTAAAGTATTTAAGGTAGTTACTTTAGGATTAAGTTACCGAGTCCTTGTAGAATTCGTCAGAGTTTAGGATTTCCGGTTCTACTATAAATATGTACTTGGTTTCTACGTTTTAATCATCAATCAAAGAAGAATAAATCAGTATTTCAGTTTATTTTAATTTTAGTTCGTACGATTACGCGATGGACGAACCGATCGTCCATCATGTTACCAAGATAGTAATCAACTAATTAACAAGGAAACCCCACTATTCAATTCTAGGGAACCAATAATACATCAAGAACAAACCACAACACACCAGGACTTTTTGACCTTCATTTGGAAGTTACAGATGAGATATATTCCAAGAACAACCAATTTTCAACTCATAAGTTTCCACCGATAGAATATTGCCTTGTGGCTACAGAAAGGAGATATGAAATCGGCAAACTCACTTCTTAAAACTCATAAGTTCAACTTATAGAATCTATTGCTAGAACCATAAATTTTAGACAAGCAATAGGGTAATTTGAAAGAACTCACATGATCACTATGCTTACAAGAGGCAACAACTAGGACCAACATTCATTTACAGAATCGTTTGCTTTTTGTAAACCCAAGGAATTGCCCAAACTAGAAGATCGTACAAGGCAGCCATGAATATCATGATTCGTTTTAGGATCTTTTAGTTTTCCCTTGGAAAATATCCACAACCAGAAACCCTTTTTTAAGGAAGATACTCGAATTAACTTTAACAGTAGAATTACCTACACCATTCTTTACTCAAGGCAGAAGCACAATCATCACTAAGCAAGATTCCCCACTTGAACCTCATAATTTTCACATCGAAAACCGTCATGATCAATTTTCACTTGAGGCAGACGGGCAATCATGACTGAACCTATACCCTTCTATTCTAGGACATCAAACAAACATAATGTCCAGAATAGGGACCCATATTTATGCAAGCTCATAGTGTAATAGGATTCCAACAATTTCATTAAGCACTTACATGTAGATGCATGACCTACAAACGAGTCATAAGCAGTGCACTCTTCAAATTCATCCCAACCGTAGGCTACAACACTATAAAAAAATAGATCCTCGTTATCAATTAGACAGAAGAAGGGAAACGAGGACTTGCAATCGCTTAGCGAATTGCAGCAAACATAATGTGAGAAAGTCCTGGCAGATGATTCCAGTTCAAATGAGTACTAGAGGTCAAGAGTGAATCCACTGAACATGGTTTCTTTTATAACTCTCTTTGAAATGTTAAGTTATAAAAAGCAAGTTTGGCATCCAAAAGCACTGCTACAGGACAGAAACCAACCAATCAGACAAAATAGTTGTTCTATTATAAGTAACCAATAACATAGTAGGACGAAAGAACTAGCCACCCTTCGTCCCATGACTTCTTTATTTTCACTTGGAAACTACCAACATGAGATTGATTCTAAGAACAAAAAACCAACTTTCACTTCACGGACTTCCACCACTAGAATCTTGACACAAGGCTGCAGAAGGAAAAACTAACTCATCTCTAGGAACGAACTCACAAGTTTGGCTTACAGAATCTCTAGAACTTTTAGACATGCAAAAGGGAGATTGCATGACAACTATGTTTACATGTGGCAACAGCTAGGACCAAGATTCCCTTGTAGAACCTTTAGTTTTTTAAACCTAGGGAATTGACCAAAGCAGAATCATAAGATAATTATGCAGTCATGACAATGAAAGATTCAATCTAAGACTTCGTGATTTTATCTCAGAGAATATCCACAACCAAAATTATTATTTAAGGTAGATAGTAGCCAATAGCTTGCCTATGTTTCTTCCTACGAATTCTTTCGATTCAGCTTACACTTCAAGAACCACCACAACCAATTTTGACTCAAGGCAGAAGGGCAACCATGCTTATGCATAATTCCCATCTAGGACCTTTCTATTTCAGTTCGGGAATTGCAACAACCAATCATTACTCGAGACAAAAGGGACATAGTTCTCATCTAGGACCTTGTAATTTTCAATTCAAAGAATTGCCACAACCAATATTTACTCAATGCAGAAGGGCAACCATGATTAAGCACGATTCCCTTCTAGGACATTATAATTCACTAGGAGAAACGCCACAAGCCATTTTCACTCAAGGCAGAAAGGCAACCATGACTATGCATAATTCCCTTATAGGACATTGTAATTTCAGTTCGAGAATCGTCAAAACCAACCTTTACTCTAGGCAAAAGGGCAACCATGCGAAGCATGATTCCCATCTAGGACCTTGTAATTTTCAGTTTGGAGAACCGCAACTGTCAGTCTTTGCTTAAGGCAGAAGGGTAATTATTATAGCATAATTCCCATATAGGACCTTGTAATTTTCAATTCAAGTAACAGCCACAACAAACCTTCACTCAATGCTAAAGGGCAACCTTGATTAAGCACGATTCTCTTCTAGGACATTGTAATTTACTTTGAGAATCGCCACAAGCAAACTTTACTCAAGGCAGAAGGCAACAATGAATATGCATAATTTCTTTCTAGGACTTTGAAATTTCAGTTCAAGAATCACCAGAACCAATCTTTACACAAAGCAAAAGTGCAACCATGATTAAGCATAATTCTCATCTAGGACCCTTGTAATTATCAGTTTGGAGAGCCACAAGAACCACTCTTTACCTAAGGCAGAAGTGTAATTACGACAGCTTAACTCCCTTCTACGAATTTAGAAACAAAATGAGATCATATTAATGCAAAGCTCATATTACTTCGTAATATGTTTTGAATATGCCGACAACCAATTAACAACGCCTTCTGTTAACTCTGTGAAATCTAGCAGGATTCCAACGACTTCATCAATTGCTAACACACAATTGCTAACACACAACCAACAAATGTTTCATAAGTAACATGTTTCATAAGTAACATGGTTGTGGTGGAGTGGTGCAAGCTCTAGCTTCCTTCTTTCAGGTAAGCATTTTGAAGGTTACTTGCAGCATAATGTTTTATTTTTCCCTGTGTAAATCACCCTTTGTTCTCTTGCTAAAGCAAAATCTCCGTGTAAGTAAACATATCCATTAGATAATTTTCATGTTGATACTTTCAGTCATTTTACTTAGTGAATCTATCATATAACAAAGTATGCGAAGTTAAAAGACTTTGATTTTATTGATACGATGATTAATCTTGTTTTGACTCTTCTAGTCTCTATTGATTAAACTAGACAACAAATTAGCGATGATTCTCTTGCCGATTGTTTTAGATTTATATTGAACGAGATATAATCGATACTATTAGCGTAGATGCTATTTTGAGCGATTTCATTAATCTCAAAGACGTCATGTGCGTTTATGATAATAAAATTTATTTGAATTTTATAGTATTATTTGGTTTGAAAAAATCCCCCCCCCCCCCCCCCGACTTGAAATCCTAGTTTATCCCTTATCAAACGGATAAACTATAAGGAGCATACTTGCCAAATTAAAGTATTCTTATGAGACAGATATAAGCAAAATAGCAAGGCAGTCTCACTATTAGATCCTAGGACACACTAAAATTAGCATTGTACATACACAACAAACCAACTTGTGATTCTGGAACAAAGCAGCCAAAACATTTTATCAATAACCGTTCAAATTTACGCTGATGAAGCAACAAAGTGAGAGATTATGATACCCCTTTTCCACCTACTAAGCCCATTTAATCAAAGAGGTGCTGAGTAGTCAAAATCTCGATTGAAATCCTTAAATCCTACGCTTTTACGATTTTATTTGCCTATTACGATTCTGATTTCACTATAAAATTTATGGACCTTAAAATTCTACACTATTCACTATTTAAATTTTTAAAATCTTACGATTTACGATTCAAATCTTCGAGTGAATATTACTTATTTTTTTCTAAAATCCTACGCATCTTTTTCTTCTCCTCCACCAACATAATCTAGTTCTCTTACACTAATCACCATCGACTATAATCAATTCACATCAACGGATTAATCATCATTGATTCACCACCTGTTAATATTAACCTTGATAAATTGGAACATTAACCTTAAAAAATTATCATTATAAGTGTTATGTGTTTTTGTGTTATTCATGATTTTCCTTACTAATATTATTCCGTCTTCATTTCTATATGGACCCTAAAATCCTACAATTTTACGATTCGATTTTATAATTCCAATTTAATCCCATTTTCGATTTTACTTAAAATCCCAATTTTGACGGCTTTGAAGAGACGGGTAGCCTGAAAAATACGCCGGAGTCTGTTCCGCCAGTTTCTGTTTGGAATTTTACGCGGTTAAGTTTGACTACTTTGACGCGGTTAAGTGTAAAACAAGAATGTTGGGCTTGTGCGAGTAATACACAATTGGACTCTTCTTTTATAACGGTAGGGAAAATAATGGGTAGCGAATGTATATATGTTATTACCCAAACAAGTAAGCCTGTATACGAACGCCATTGGGCTTCCGGCCCACGTACTGATAGCCTTTGACTGGAGATAACCCGAGTAACAGCACCGCACCGATCCGACGACCCGACCCAGCCTTGATCTTGCTTCTCCGTCATCACATTGCCGCTTCCTTTCCACAGAAACAAATAAACCCTAACGTTAAACCCCTGCAGCTTTCTCCCCATAATAACCTACCTCCCCAGTTTCTCCCCAGAATACCCTGCAAGGCTGCAACTTTCAAAGTCGCGGCTTTCTCAGATTACTGCAACTGCCAGAAGGGGTTGACGCCCTGATAATTTCTTACTCATGAAGGACAAAGCTCCGGCGAAGCGAGGCCCGGGAGGTCCCAGAGGAAACAAATCCAAGAGCAATGGCGATTCATTTTTCAAGCCCGATTCGAAGAGGCGGCGGAAGGGCGGTTTCCGGGACGATGATATTGAGTCAGGCGAGTCGGACCAGGAGAATGGGTACCCTGGCTCTGACGCGAGCTCTGGACACGGCGATGAGGATGAAGAGATCGATGAATATGCCGATGAGACAGCCGCCGAGAAGAAGGTAAGGCTTGGAAAAGAGGCTCTGCAAAAATTTATGGCTATTGAGAAGAAATTTGCAGAGGAGGACGATGGGGAAGTGGAGGAAGGAATAGGGTATGAAAAGGAAGGCGAGAGGGATTCCTTAGTTGCTCGGAAGTTGATGAAAGAACAGTTGGAGGAGAGTGGGCGCTTGAGGAGGGATGTTGCTTCTAGGTAAGCAGTTGAAGAAACTATAAGTTGGGAAGTTTCTTCCTTTTAGGTTTGTTAAAGTTTCAACCATTCATTTCAAAAATTGATAACACTTCTCTTCAGTAGCAGTGAATGAATTGGAGATACATTCGTTCTGTTTACATTTCTACCCAGTTAGGAAGATATATATAGTTTGTGCTTGAATTTGACCGGTGGAATGTGTTTGTATTTGGTTGGCAATTTACTTTCGTCATTGGTTTAGGGTTGAGAAGCCTGAAACTGGTGATGGATTTCGCTACCTAGTGAAGCACACACATCCTGTCACTGCAGTGTGTCTGTCAGATGACGAATTGAGGGGCTTTTCTGCTTCCAAGGATGGTTCAATCGTACAGTGGGATATAGAGAGTGGGAAAAGTGAAAGATACAAATGGCCAACTGAGAAAATTTTGAAGTCCCATGGAGCCAAGGATCCAGAAGGTCGAGCTACCAAACACAGTAAAAGTGTTTTGGCTTTAGCTGTTAGCCCAGATGGTCGGTATTTGGCTAGTGGAGGGTCAGATCGGCACATTCACTTATGGGATACTCGGACACGTGAACATGTTCAGGTATCTTGGCTAGTTTCTTATATCTTATTTGTCAAATATTCCTATCTATGAGTTTGTGTGATAAGAAGGAAGAGCATCCTTGAACTGGCTGGTTCTACTGTTCTCATTTGAATCTTTGTTTAAATGTCTTCCAGGCTTTCCCAGGCCATAGAGGAGCTGTTTCATGTCTAGCATTTAGGCATGGGACTTCAGAACTCTTTTCTGGTTCATTTGATAGATCGATCAAGATATGGAATGTTGCAGACAGGACTTACATAAGCACATTATTTGGTCATCAGAGTGACGTTTTAAATGTAGATTGCCTACGGAAAGAAAGGGTATTGGCTGTTGGACGCGATCGTACTATGCAGTTTTTTAAGGTACTAAAGAGAAATAATTCTCAATTTGTCGTGACACCTTGGTCCGTATTCCTCGTAGTTTAGGGTTGTTAGAAGTGTTTATTTGGGCGGGGACAAGTAAGTTTCCAATTCCCTATATGAAGCATCTTCTACTGCATGCTATTGTAGATAGTGACATTCGAAACCATTAGATCTTCTATCTGGGTTATGTTCTATATCAAAGTCTACTTTCCTTTCAATTGAGTGTAATACCGACATCTCATATCTGGATTTTGCACATAGGTCCCCGAGGAGTCCCGAGTGATATTTCGTTCTTCTACCTCGGCTTTAGAGAGCTGTTGTCTGATTGATTATGAGGATTTCTTCTCTGGCTCTGATGATGGGAGTGTTGAGCTTCGGACTGTACAAAGGAAGAAGCCCGTGAGCGTTATCAAGAACGCTCATGCTTTGGCATCTGACCTCAAGAATGAAGAAAATGACAACCGGAAACCCTCTAATGGTGATGCACGTAACCTGCTTCTAGCTGGTGGTGTTTGTTATCTGTGATACTTTAGAAAGTGTCGATTGTGGATAAAAAATGGTTTTATACCTTGAATTGCTAGACTTTTACTCTCTCTAGTGATTTGCACGTCCCACTCACATATTATCATTACTGTCATCAGCATATTCCTGGGTAAGCTCAGTTGCTGCATGTAGAGGAAGCGACTTGGCAGCATCAGGAGCTGGCAATGGCTCAGTCCGTTTATGGGCTATTGATAGTTCTCCAAAAGGAAAAGCCATCCGGCCATTGTTTGATCTTCCTCTGGTTAGCAACAAACATACATCACCATTTTCATTTTACAATCTCTTTCCTATGCATTGTCTCATCCTGCATACTCCTTTAGTGGTTACTTAGCTAGTCCTTTTCTTTTTCAAAACACTCAGGTTGGTTTTGTAAACTCCATGGCTTTTGCCAAATCTGGGAAGTTCCTCGTTGCTGGCGTTGGCAAGGTAACATAAACCCTCCCATATACAGATTCGTGTTTGTTGTTTTAGGAAATATGGTTTCATCTCTTAGCCTCATAAGCTGACAGATCATCTGTTTTTTCTGCACTAGGAACCTCGCCTGGGAAGATGGGGGAAGATTTCTGATGCTCAAAATGGAGTTGCAATTCAACGATTTAAGCTATCGGAGGAGGATTTATCAAAGTTTTGACCGAGCAACTGCAAATCCCTTTCTGTACTACTATGGTTTAGATAGACAGATGAGAGATCCAAATGTATTATTACATTCAATCAATTTTGTCCCAGCGCAGTACAATTCCATTAAGCTGTGATTGATCTTTTCGATCTTTTCACCTTCCCTCATGCTTCTGCTTCTCAGTGAGTCTTGTCCCCCTTTTGATTGATGCTATGCAATTCTTGTATGGTTAGTACAAAAACACTGCTTGGTTTGGAAATTGTGATCTTTGAAACAGCTCGTCTCCAGGGAGGAGATTTTATTTATTCATCACTTGTATGTATTACATCGAAAGAATGATATACAAATGGGGGCCTCACAAATCATCATTTACGAAAGAATCAACGAATTTAGAGAGCCGTTTCTTTCTTGTTCATTCACATGGCCACTGAAGATGCCCGTGGACTATCTGGAGATGGGGTTATGTCCTTGAAAACCTGAAGGCGGTTTCTTCTCTTAGTCGCCGTGTTGATCATATTCTTCCCAGCTCCATCGAAGCACAGACGTCTCGATGCAGCTGTCGTCCTCGATATACCACCTCCACCAGCTTGGACACATTGCTGCTCATTCTTTGGATAACAGCACTTATCGTCATTAGCCACGTTTGCATCCCAGTTCTCATCCAAAGATCCCGTTTCCTCATCACCATTCCAAGCTACTGGTAGCTTTCCCAGCGCTGCTTCGGCTTCATCTTCTTCAACCATATCAGCCCAACTCTTGTGCTTGCTCTCTGGTTTCACATCGACAGAAGAAGCTTCTGTTTCTGATACAACATTGTGATTAGTCTTCCTATCAATCACGATAACATCTCCCACTGGAAACTTAACCACTATATTATTGCTGTCATTGTTGCCAGGAGTAGTACCCGCAGCAGTTGCAGCAGCTTGTCTCCATGGCTTCCTCCAGTCTCCTTCAGCAGGTGAAGGTGAAGAAGAAACAGTCCCCCATCTTGGCTGAGATTTCAGCTGAGGGGTGACCATACTAGCCTCCATTTTTAACTGTGTAGCTTCAATCCCTCCTGCACTCAACTCTTGATGCTCTCCGCGGTTGGTACTACTACAACTGCGCATTGGCTGGAATTCCTCTGCTCCCCACTTTCCTCCGAATAAACACCTTCTAGGCTGAGAGAACAGCACAGGTGTGGTTGAAGCATAACAATTCTTCTTCTGGCTGGAACCCGGCCGATGCCTTCCGCTATTCATGAGGATGCCGAAGCTTTGAGGCGGAGGAGTTGCAGCAGCAAAATAGGGAATTTCCGTCCAGCCATGGTGATCACCAATTGGTTGAGTTTGCAGAGAAGATGAAGCAGAAGGAGGTTCGTCACTTGATTGGTGGGACTCGAATTCCGTCAGCATCTGATAAGCACGCTCGAATGATTTGGCGTATGATTCCTCCATCGGTTGGTTCACACATGAAGCTCTTACAGCTTGAAGCAGAGCTCTTGCTTCAGGGAGCTTGTTCATGTGCATCAAACACACTGCCAAGTTGCATTGCTTGTTCCTATCTGGCTCCAGAGACAGAGCCCTCCTGCAGAAGAAGAATCAGCCAACCCCATAGACATTAGAACAAGCAACAAAGTTAGCATTCTTTTGGATTTCACAGATCAAGTTGCAGTAACATATACCTGTAATGTTGTTCCGCTAAGCCATAATTGTGCTGCTGTAAGTAAGCCCAGGCTAAGTTCCCTAGAATTCGAGCCTTCTCTTGTTCAACAGTTATTTGAATCTTCTTGCCTTGAGACCTAGCGACCTTGGTCCTTCTCCCACCGAACACCATTCCTTCTTCTATGTTCTTCAGCTTGCGCTGAAGCATTTCAATTTCTTCCTCCACCCTTCCTGACCTCTGTACGAAACAACAGAACAAACATCATCAAGAAAAAGAAACAGGGCAATGATCTTCTTTTTAGGGACGAAAAGCATATGGAAATCGAGAACTGGGTTCGAACCGTCCTACCTTATAGAGCTCAACCAGCACGTTGTCAATGGATTCCTGCGATTCTTGAGGGCAGCGATGGCGGAAGGATTTGATGGCCTCAATTGCCTCTTCAGACCGGTTCAATTGCTTCAGCACTACAGCCATGTCTTTCAAGGCACTATCAATTCTGTCCCCAGCGTTTATGGCGGCCCAGAACATGGGGACTGCCCTGCTTGGGTCCTTCTCAATCAACTGTTCGAACCCAGAACAAACAAAAGGAAAAAAATTCCACAGAGGCAATTATCAGAACACTTGGCATGCAAAACTCCAAAGACTTGCTACATAACCCAAGAAGAAGATAACTTAATTTTCCCAGGCGGTGTTTCAAATTCAAAATTCATCCGAAATTGAGATACCCAATAAAGAAAAGAAAAGGAAAGAAAAGAAAGGTCGACTTGTTTTGTTTGACTTGCCTGAACGTGTTTGGCCTTGACGTAGGGAGAATCGCCGGCCGGGACCTTGTGAATGACATGGAAGAGGTCGTGCTTGCAACTCCCGGCGGGCGATTCCATCTTCCTCTCCGAGAACGGCGGCGGCAGAAAAAGACGACGCTGGGCACGAGTATGCGGCGGCGTCCAAGTCGGCGGCGGGGTGAGGAAACCCCGAGCTTGAACTTTCCGATCGCAACTCCAAACCCGATCGTTCTCTTTCTGCCGCATTGCCGGAAAGTTCTTCTGTGGCGACCCTTTTAATCAAAGACGAAAGAAACGGAAAGATTCAGTTTTGATCGCGTGGAGACAGATATTCGCACTGTTTTCTGCCCGGCTTCTGGTTTCTGCTCAGAAACGGCCGAGGAAGTTTACCGGAAACAAAGAAGGAGAGGAGTTTGTTAGTGAGAAAGAAGGGGGAGATTCTGTTGTTTGTTTACTGAGAAAGTTTATTGCCGTTTGCGAGGGAAAGAAGAAAGGGCGAGAAAACAGAGTGAGTCAAATTGAGAAAGGAGGAAGAAAAGAGCCGTTTTTTCCCCTTTTCTATATTAGTAGCCGTTTGGGCTGCTTTCTGTTCTTCTTGACCTGGAGGTTCGAGTGGTTGCGATTTCTCTGAGACCGACGTCGTTTTGGGATATTAGGTTTCTTCGTTAATTGTTTTTTTTTCTCAATAATCGATATACCACCTGTCCACCTCGATCATCTATTTTCCGCTTACCCTAAACAAATTATTACAAATAATATAAATTTTATTTTTTATGGTTCTTAAATTTTTAATAGTTAAAAAATATTTTTTGCATTTAAAAAATTATTATTTAAAATATGGTTCTCAAAAATAGAGGTGGAAATCGGTAGTATATCGGTATTCAAAACCAAATACTGCATTACACCCTAAAATCAATCTCAAAATAAATTTGATATCCCAATCTCAAAATATTTTGGTATCCCAATTGATATACGAAACGAAACTAATTACCTTCACAATTAATAATCAAATATATAAATAACGGTCTTAATCTCGAGCATTTATATAGTTTAGATTTCTAGGTTTAACTTCGTGCTTGAAATTTTTGGTTAAGAATTTGAGGTGAATTTTTTTTAACAAAAACTAATAGAAGACATCATTGATTGGATTCATTCAAGTCTCCATTGAACGGATTCATTATAATTCCTATTTAGCACAAGCAGACTAGCCAGAGTCTGTAGTACATCTAGAACTACGACATGGATAAGGAGAAGGGAGGATATGGTGATATCTCAATTATTGTCATTGGTAATCTTTATCGTTGGATTGGAGGTTGAGAGACGACTAATGAGAGTATCTACTTTTTGGTGTAATGAAAATAACAAGAGATTGAGTGAGAGACGAGAGTGACCTAAATTGGAAAGTCAAAATTGAGTTAGATGAGGGCATGTGAATTGTCAAAGAATGAAGGAAAAAGCAAAGTATGTGTCCTATATTTAATTATTTTTAATTTTTGTTGTTTCTCAAAAATTAATATACCAATCTCAATCTTTATGCCCGTAATCCTGAATACTAAATAACACCCCAAAATGAATTCAAATCTCAATCCCTAAAATTAAGTAATCATTTGATAATATCAAATAGTAATAAATTGGATGCGTCATTCGGTATATCTCATATATCGAATAGTCACGGGCCCGACCGGATTTATTTGTCAATCGCGTAAATAGTCATAGCAATTTGTCTGTGAAATTAGCGTCTCTTCAGTAGAATGTTAAAAATAAAAGTTTATGAAATTACATAACATTCTAATTGCTTTGTAGCGTAAAAGAATTCAAATTATTATTATTATAATACTTCAACCATTCAAAATATGACATCATTTTGTTTTTTTTTTTTTACATTCTAAATTGATTACAGAGTATAATTGTTTTACAAAAAAATGAAAAAACCCATCCAAAAGATGACATCATATTGTTATCGAGTATAATTTTTTTACAAAAAATGAAAGATAAACCCTATGTCAGGAATCCGACTCCTATAAGTTTTGTGAAAATTTTATATTTACTCCTCATTGCCATATAATACTGTACGTTTTCTTTTTTGCTTGTTTGCACTTCCTATGCCATGAGCAACATCATCATCTCCGCTGTAGTAAGGTCTTCATCTCCATTAATGACATATTGATCTCCAATATAACCCGACAGATACTCCTTCGCTTGCATTTGAATAATCTCTTCCATGTTTTCATGCATTTCATTGTGCACAAAAATTTGATGTTAAAAAATATTTGCAAATACAAATAATTGTTTTCATGGTCTTAGAATTTACTTTGTCCATGTTATGAACAATATTTATTGTTTGTTCCTCCATGAATTTAAACAAATGGATATGGAGATTTGCAACTGAAAGGGACAGCTGGTGGAGGCAGCTTATTGCGATTAAGTATCAGCATTCTAATTCAGAGTGGAGAACTAGGATTCCTGATAAGGGTTTTGGTAGCTCTATTTGGGCGAATATTGCCAAAGTCAACAACAGTTTCTGGAGAGGTGCTTACATTGATCCAGGACCAGGAACTGGTGTTTCTTTGTGGCACGACACTTGGATTCCAGAAGGGCGACTCGTTGATATGCTCCCTCGAATTGCTACTGTGGCAACTCTCCCCAATGCAATGATCTCCGAGGTTGCGACTGACACATGTGAGTTACTTGATTGGAACATTCCCCTATCTATTACTCTTCAGGGGGAGCAGAGAGGGAGAGAGGGGCTTTCTTTGATTCTTTAAATTTGAATTCTCATAGGATTAGCTGTAGTCCTGGTCGTGTGGTTTGGAGGCTTGGAAAAGAGTCCTCTTTTTCAGTGAAATCAATGTACATGTTCCTAGTTGACATTCGTTTTCCAGGTGTGTAGGACTTCCCCAATGACTTGGTTTGGAAGCATTTCATACCTTCCAAGATATGCGGATTTATGTGGCTGGTGTGGCACAAGACGATACTCACTTTAGATAATCTGCAACATCGTGGTTGGGTGTTGGCGAATAGGTGTGTTATGTGCGGATGCAATGAAGAATCCATTAACCATCTTCTGTTGGAATGCCCTACTGCTAAGAATACTTGGAGGATGGTGTCATTAGGATGTTCCATTTTCACCTTACCGATGGGAGATATAGTCTCAGTGATCAATCAATGGTCGTCCCACTCAGGTGCTAGCATCGAAAGAAGTCTTGTCCAATGTGTTCTTTCCTTTTTTTTTTTACTTCTTTAAACCAGAATTCACACACAATGACTTACCAATACTTGTTTATTATCCGTTTATTCCTGATTGGGACAATTACAATCCCATCTCATACATATATGAGTTATGAACAAATTCACACATTCCTACCTCTAGTTAATTACTCACCTCCTTCTATTCTTGGAAACATTCTAGCTCCTGTTTCTCAATCTCCTGCTCAAGTTAATTAATGAATCTGATAGTTTGTATTTAGATTAAGTCCTAGGGTTCACTCGTTGGAGGTTAGGGTGTAATACATGTCTCAAACTTTGGTTAATTCATGATCTAAATAGTAAAACTAGTTGAATGTAGAGTAATGTTAGCATGTATCATACGTATGCTATCCTCTGTCATATATATATGGTGCCTTCTACGGTACAGTCACAAAAATTAGTGCATATTATGCACCCAACTCTAAAACTAGTCTTAAGAGATCTAATTTTGAATTTTAATTAATAGCAACAAATGACGATTGACATCATTTTGACACGAATCACCTGCTCATAATGACGATTACATTTCCAAAGATGTTATTTTTCATAAAACTATATTTCCTTTTTTTTTTCTTCTTTAAACTAGAAATCGCACACAGTGACTTACCAATACCTGTTTATTCTCCGATTAATCCTGAATGAGACAATTACAATCCCATCTCATACATATATGAGTTCGGGAACAACTTCACACATTGCTAACTCTACTTACTCTCCTTCTATTTCCTGGAAACATTCCAGCTCATATTCTCAATCTCCAGCTCCCGTTACACACAACAATTTACCTCCATCAGTTGATGTTCAATCTCATAAGTTGGTTTGCGCTGATACTTCTTCACACACTGGTACACAACCACTACGAAATCACTAAAAAACCTGCTCACTTAACAAATTACAAATGCAATCTTATCAGCTGTACTGCCCCACCTGGTAAGGATAATACTTATCCAATTCAGGAAATTATGACTTATAGTTCCTTAAGTCAAGCTCACAAGAGATTTTCCATGACCATCACATTACAACAAGAGTCTAAGACATATAAACAAGCTTCTAAACATTCATAATGGAATCTAGCTATCAACTCATAACTAGGTTCTCTTGACAAAACAAAAACATGGATAGTTGTTGACCCTCTGCTGATATACTTATTATTTGCAACAAATGTGTTTTCTGTATCAAATAAAAACATGTTAGCTCTATTGATAAACAAAAAGCTCGAGTAGTAGCAAAGGGCTACAATCAAACCCCTGGAGTTACTACCATGAATACACTTGCACATGTAGTCATCTTAATCATCATTGCCCTTGCTTCTATAAACAATTCGCATTTAGCGCAACTAGATGTCAATATTGCATTCCTACATGAAGATCTCCATGAGGTATTATACATGATCCAACCTCCTGGACTCATCACATCTTTGCCGACAAACATAAATTCTGCATACTAGTTAAGTCCCTCTATGGCCTAAAACAGGCTAGTACTAAACAGTGATTTGCAAAACTAGCTACTATATTAGAGTTCCTAGGGTACAAAAAAAAATCTCATAAATTACTCCTTCTTCACGAAATACTCGGGATTCAGGAACTTATTCCACTGCTCTACTAGTGATTACTCCCTCTTGACAAAACTTTTACCATTAAAGACCTGATCAGGCAACTTAAATATTTCCTATGCATGAAGATTTCTCGTATCTCTCAAGGTATACATCTTTGTCAAAGGAATATACCTTGGGCATTCTTAGTGATACTAGTTTCCTAGCTAGTAAACACACAACAGCTCATCTACATCTAGGATTTATCATTCCATTCATGATGGGAACCTTGATTGATAAACTCTGATACCTATGCAACATTAGGCCTGACATTAGTTATACTGTCAATCAACTTAACCAATTTCTTGGAGTTCCTACACTTCCCATGAGCAGGCCACTCTAGACTACTCATATATGATGTATCTCAAAATCACCCCAACTAAAGGATTTCTTTCCCCACACAATCAAA